GACTTTTAAGCACTTTTTAAAATTTTCACAGTAAATATAAGGAGGTCTAACCGTTGAAGAAATAATTATGTGGTGCGTTTTAAATTGATATATAATGATGATTATAATTATCCTGAACGTTAAGAGCCATTGATAATCTTTGCTATGTGCTAACTGCAAGGACGAAATGAAAAACGTCATGATTAATTGCCACCTAAATGTTGACCGCTTAAGTAGTTGTCACTTGTCATATATGTGATATTTGTGAATATATTATTTTATATGATAAAATTTATATTATGTAGGTTAAATTGTATATTAAAAATATAATTTGATTTATTATTCTATACATGAAAGAGTTGCAATTATTGTCATAAATGACTATTAGAGTTTATTGTGAGATGAAATTTTGAGAGAATCTACTTTTAATAAAGTATATATTGCAACTAATATAAAAATTTATGACTCTAAATTAGAAGTTTTATGTTAATTAAATATATATAAGATTATTTTGTATCAGTCTCAATTTTCAAAAATAATTAAAGTTTTAACTTATATCTGAACATTAAAATTTTATTTTATTAAATATTGATATCTAAATTTAAAAATTCATTATATATTCTAATATATCAACATTTAATAAGATAATTTTTTAAATTTTAAATTAAATTTTAATTAAATAAAATGATGTAATTTAAAGTTGAGATTCTAACTATTTTTTAGAATCAAGATTAATAAGTACTTTTCTATATATATATAGAAATTTTAGATTTAAACCTCATGAATTATTAAAAATAAAAAGAGTCATTGTATGCACTATGGTCCATTCATCACTAAATATAGAAAGAAAAAAAAAACAGTAAACACTATAAGATCACTAACGAAAAGTAAAGGAAAAATAGCAAATTATAAGATGCGGACCATGTGGGTATAAAATAGTTCGATTGGAATTTTGCATGACCAGTTGTTTACAGAACTCATTCCCCTTTTTTTGGGCAATCAATTAATTCCTTCATCTACAAGGGTTGCTTAAACAAGTGCCTTTTTCCCCCTTTTTGATTTCTTCAATTTTTCTTTTAGTTTAGAATGGAAATAAACCTCATTAAATTAAAAGGTAGGGTGTTTGAACTTTGGAGCACATCATTATCCATCACGACTTAATTTTGGGGTCTAAATGTTGGTGCTTCTTCTTTTGCTATTGTTCCAAAGACATTATGCTTCTTCCTCTTTTTTAACCTTTTTATGTTCCTTCAATAATACCACACCCCCTAAAGCAGTTTAGATTCCAATCTTCCCCTTTTTCTTGTTTTAGTGGGCCACTCCTCATCAAATAGTTCAACGGTATAAACCGCCTCCATGGACTTTCGCCGCCATTTCCGCTGTTATTATTTCATTTTCCCCGCTTTTGAAGTAAGTCGGACCATCTTCTGCTAAACAAAAGGAAAAAGTTGTTGATTATCTGTTGATTCAAATAAAAAGAGTTTAATTTTTTTTAAATATAATCTCAACTTTAAATGAATGAAAAAAGGTTAAATATTTTTTTTGGTTCCTCTACTATAGGAAAAAGCCCTTTTTTAGTTCATATACCGAAAAAATCTCCTTTTTAGTCCCTAAATTTCAAAGTTCGGCCCCTTTTTGGTCCTTCCGTCAGTTAAGTGACAGAATGGCACTATAATCTGTTAAATATTTTATCTTTTTCTTTTTTATTATTGACGTGTAATAATACGTTAATGAATAAAATGCCACGTGAAAAAAAATTGATGATGTGGACAAAAAAATTTTATATGAATAGGTTGTAATATAATTTTTTTTAAAAAATCATCATTTTCTTTTTGTCTTTTCATTTCCCATTTCTACTCTTTTCTTCTCCCTAAAAATAATTAACTGTAACATCTTTCATCCTTTTCTTTCTCCTCACCTTATCCTCCTCTGCATCCTTGGCATCATCTTCATCGTTCTTTGCCATCGTCTTCATCATCCTAACTTCCTTGGGAAACCCAGAAACTGGGTTCCCTGTGGAATCCACGAGGAGCCCAGATCTGGGTTCCCCGTGGAATCCACGAGGAGCCCGGATTTGGGTTCCCCGTGGAATCCACGAGGAGCACAGATCTGGGTTCCCAGTGGAATCCACGAGGAGCCCGGATTTGGGTTCCCCGTGGAATCCACGAGGAGCCCAGATCTGGGTTCCTCTGGGTTCCATGCGGAACCCAGCTAGGTTCCCTGTGGAATCCACAAGGAGCCCGGATCTGGGTTCCCCATGGAATCCACGATTTTTTAAAAATTGTTATGTTCACTTCTTCAACAGTTTGTTTGAATGTTAATGCCAAAGATATTTGACGGAAAGAGGATTTTTCATTAGTAACGAGATATTTATAGAGGCGGTGATAATAATTACATGAATACGAAGAAGGCACTGGCAGGCCTCTTTGGTTTGTTTGGATCCTTGGCCGCCTTCCCCGGTTTCTTCCCAGCTTATGTGATGGCTGCTTTCTTATTGACGGAAAGCCTATGACCAAAAGGCAAAACCACATCACACAAACGATAAACCAAAGAATCTAAAACACTACAGTAACAAATCTGAGATCCATAAACCGCCATCTGCTAGTTTTTTGATCTCGAAGCAGCAGAAACAACGAAGAAATAAAGAAAAAACAAAGGTCAAACGCAGGAAACTTACTTGGAACTCTTGGTGTCTGACTTCAATTTACTTCCTTTCACGTTGGATCCTGCAATCGAAACACCAGATAAGCCAAAATCGCAGTAGAAATCGATACAAAAATGAAAAAAACCGGAGAAGATCAAAGAATACCCATACACAATCGACGAAATGTTTTAACTAAAAATCAAAACAAAACGTACACAACCGAAAAAATTCAAAAAAATACTTATGGAAATCAATGAAACATAGAAGTTAAAACCATGCCGAAATTCGACTACAAAAACAGAAAAAAAAATCGTGGATTCCACGGGGAACCCAGACGAACCCAGTTTCTGGGTTTCCCAAGGAATGGGAAATGAAAAGACAAAAAGAAAATGATGATTTTTTTAAAAAAATTATATAAAATTTTTTTGTCCACATCATCAATTTTTTTTCACGTGGCATTTTATTCATTAACGTGTAATAACACGTCAATAATAAAAAGAAAAAAGACAAAATATTTAACAGATTATAGTGCCACTTTGTCACTTAACTGACAGAAGGACCAAAAAGGGGCCGGATTTTGAAATTTAGGGACTAAAAAGGGGATTTTTTCGGTACAGGGACTAAAAAAGGGCTTTTTCCTATAGTAGAGGGACCAAAAAAGGTATTTAACCATGAAAAAATAAATGCTGAGAGAATTTTTTTTTTATGAAATTTAACGTAATTCAACTAATATAGTTGTGAAATACTAAAAAGTTAGTTAAAAAAAAAAAAAACAAAGAAAGTCACACCTTCACCTCCTAAGGTGAATTGAGCTTAAGCGCCTTAATTATTCTAATTTTAGCCAATTCTCAAGAGTTCAAATGCTTCTAATGTATTAATTTGGAGATCATTACTCAT